TTGACATAGCCTTGTTGCAAAAACGATAGTTGAAACAAGTCTGCACTTTGCAGTACATACTTGTCTGCACTTTGCAGTTAGGAATTTCTATAGTAAGTCCGTAACCTTTCGAGCAAAAAAAAACACATTACTGTGAAGGTAATAAAATCGGGATACTTTGAACGAGTAAAACAACCCGACGCCAAGTTGCTCTGTTCTTGTAGACCATGTTTTATCATTCTGAGGTCATTGTGCAATGCAGCTGTAGAAACTTACGTGCGGAGTGGGAGCTTTTGACCAATAGTTTCTGATAAAGTACATAAACATATCATCCGATGTTGGGCGAGAATTCCGAAGAGTTATGTAATTAATGTGGACCTGTGTACAAACCGAAAGTCTGTATGCAATTAATTTATCATGGCAATTAGGCCAGACCGTTTACCGTTTAAAAAATCGTTAATGTCGCACGTTTTTCGAAGTATTTCAAAATCCCGAGATATGCGAAAATATCCCAAACTGCCTTATTTATGCATGGATGACAGATGGCTAAAGTTATCACGGTTACTGCAATTTTTTGTTGAATTTCGCAATTTGCATACAAAATCGATTTACTATAGATCATGTCCTTCTACATGAACTCAATTCCCCCATTTTATGAATGGACCTGTCAATTAAAGTTCGCTTATTATGATCAGAAAGTTTCACAAAGTTGTTTCACAAGAACAAAATCGTAATGTCTACTTTAATGTTCGGTTTAATGCTTTCATTGGCTCCATCAATCTGCTTGGGTATAGGCCACCTATGGAGAAGGCAAAACCAAATTCATGATATAATTAGACCAACGTTGGAATATGATACAATGAAATTGGAGACACCACGCTAGATGACGTCAGCGAAAGAGCATATTGATTGAGCCGTTGCCGTGTTGCAACAAAAATGCAACACAATTACTGTCATGCAGAATACAGAATCTCCAAACACTTCAAATCTATACATCAGTGATAATCTACATATCGAAATGTTTTCAACATAATATTTAGTATGTTGCCTATTTGCCACATTAACATGAACTATAAATGGATGGATCATGCTTGCAGTCTCTTCCAACTAATAATTTATTCGGAGCATGACATCGTGTTCCATTGACGATACTGAGATGAATAAATTTCACTACGCAATGTGGAAAATGCAGAAATAGATTGAGAGTGAAGAGTATGTGATTGGAAGAGTACTATGATCTCTCAAATTCCCAAGGACTTTCCAAAGGCCGAACCTTTACCAAAGCCGGTATAGGCGTCAGTGACTATCCAGTGTCAAACTCAAATCGAATCAAATTGTGCCTGAATAACAATACGCAGAGCGTTGAAATAGTTTGTGAAAAATATCATACCGTAAGGCGATGTAGGATTTTTCATATTTCGATTGATAAACCGTTGATCTCGATAAATGCATTTGACATAAAAACAACATGTAAAACATACTACAAAACGCACCGCGTAGTCGGACGCGATTATCTTACTATGCCGACCAAAGAACATCAGTACTACGCGTCACCACGCAAAGTCGGAAAGGGAAACGTGATTCAGGAGTGGGGCGTGAGAAAAGAGAGAGAAAAGAGCACAGGTTCCGTTCTGTTCCACGCAAAACATGCTAAATCATATCCGTAAACAGCACGTCGTGTCATCTGACGAGTTTACAACGTGTATGTACAATTAGACCCCAATATAATTAAAGTCGGAGACAATCCTCAATTGATGTATATTATATGCATTCATCAGAAAACACTGAGTTTTGATCAGCGGTGTGCAACATTTTTTGTAGGCTGGCCATATAACCAACCTCAGACATCTATAGCTGGTCCAGGAAAATAAAATATATTGTTCATGTACACAACCAATTAAAGAATTCTTACAATGAAAAGGCTATCGCTTCGCCTTACAGCAATGAAGGCTCCGGGAAAAACGCCAAAAAATTAACGCAGTGACAAGAGCAAAAAAATTATGTATTTATACCCAATTGTGCGACTTTTTAAACATAAACTGTCGGATTAGCATTAAATGTCTGATGGGAAACAATCTGAGTGTTGATATGGGCCACACTGAATGGCTCGGTGGACCGGGTTGGGGCCCGCCTGTTGCACACACCTGGTTTAGAAAAACCAATGGATCATGCCCACCTGTTACAATAAATAATTGTACACCGCTGTACCGTATTTTGCTCACCCAACCGCGACTCAAGCTTTCCAACATATTATGTATTATGTAGTGTTGCTAAAGTAGTGTGAGCAAAATTCGGCATTTACATTTTTTTTAAATAATTCCAAGCTATATCGAGAAGTGTTTGCTAGTACTTTGTCACTTTTAATATTTTATTCAATTTCAACGTATTTGCACTTACAAACTAGCAGAGAAAACGGGGGAGTCTACTCGAAGCCACAGTTGGTTTGAGACATTAACTGGTAATAAACCATGTCTCGACGCATGCTAATTAGCGCCAAAACACAAACGACCTCATATGCAACAACGTGACGCGTTTCCAAGATAATATTCCCATCCGTAATATCAATTTTAAAGTCATTAATATTCGCGCATCGCGCACGAAGCAAGCATAGACCAATTAAAATATTAATAGTTGAGCACAAACATCTATGAATAAAGCATAATCGTTTAAAAACGCTACGTAAATATTTCCCGACTAAGGGATGGTTTGGATCGACTGACGTAATTGCGTCAATCGGAAGAGTTTGAGTCACATACGCCGATAACGGTCGAGTGACGACGCACCAGAAATGCAGAGCTATTTTGAATCCACAAGTAACGTAGCTAGCAATGCCGACAAACAGCATATCTAATTACGCACGATAACTCAACAAAATTTTTTACAAAATTCTGTCTCAAAACAATATGCTCTATATAGACAATTGAAGTTGAGAAAGCACAAAATGCTTTTTAGAGAATCTCAAAATGAGATTTGAAAAAGGCATTAGGTGGTGGTTGTATGATCACCAAAAAATACTAAATTTGCAGCAGGAGTTCTCATAAACGTCATTTAGTTGGAAAATCCAAATATTAACAATGAAAAATAACATTTCCAAAAAGAATTTACTACGTCATGAAACAATCCCTTTGACATTGATCTGTTCGTTTAAAATGATATGTAAGCAGTCAGATAAAATGGTTTACCATGTAGAGTGATGGAGATTGAATATCAAATAGTACATGGAAAGAAGGCTTTTCAAATAACGGTTAGAGATAATTCTAGTTCGTTTTGTCATAGTTCCAGAAGGGATGTGAAAACACAAATCCTCTGCCGTGCTATCGCTTCCTATCCGTTGACAATTAATTTAAAGTGCAGCAATAACACTCACATTGTCCATGTCCATGGTAAATTTCTTAATGACATAGCTAACACTAATTATCCTCTTCCGCCATATTTTCCAACGACCAAATTATTGATTATGTGGAAACAAATGATTGGCAAGCGAATGAATCGACTAATCCCTATCGTTGGTAAATAGCTACAGTGACGAAATAGAATCCAAGATACATTACATGCGGATATAAAAGGAAAGACATGTTGGTGGTATGTGTACCTTTTCATAACCTATCTATTTATCATGAATCCTCGATTTATACGCCGACAATCATTGAATCTGTCATTGAGCGATTTTAAAATTCGATCTCAAAAGTTACAAGGTCTTATACCCAAAGCTAGCTAAAAAATACTCAACAAAACAAAATTCACCCATTTGATCTGGAAAAGATTATAAATTTAAAGATCAAGCTGACTAGATGACCGATGATCATTTCCATGGCCTAACTCGGCTGGTACAGCAGTAAAAAGATCCCATATTGAAAGCCTAATTTGTATAGCAGTCGACCAATGATCACTTTTTAACCGGGTGTTTTATTATGAATCCTTCGATTATTTTATACCTATAAATGTCAGTGAGAGAGATGTTCAGATTGCCAGTATATAATACTCCATGAAACTAGCTGTAAGTTATAACAACTCCGATTTCTGATGCGATATTACCTGAATTATTACTTGACAGCCTATGTGAACGTATGAAAAATTTCAAGCATCTCCATCACTGCACATGCTGCAACGAAAGCACTTTGCTGTTTTACCTATTAATCTAAAATTGCCAATCGCCATTCATATCAGTCAGGTGTTCATAAACATCCGAAGAGCTTAAAATACCTTCGCAGTAAACCTGGCATGTACATTAGACAAGTTCACACTCTCTGAAATCTGCATGTGTCCCGAACTAATTGCGATTAAGCTATAGAATCACCATGGATGGGATTAAGTAGAGTGATATGTAAGACTACGGATTCATCACCATAGTACTAATTTCATCTTTTCCTTACATACAAAATAGCAAACACTATATTTCTGTGTATTTATATTTGAACTCCAGTAACTAAAAAAAGGAGCGAAAACGTGAGCCGGGTAAAGAAACAAGAGAATAACACACCGACAAAAAAACAATAACAACAAAAAGAACAAGAACAACTGAATAATTCCATTGCCGAAACCGCACGGTCAACGTGGGTTTGGAACGAATAACAAACCGAGTAATGAGAAAAGAAAAATTCCTGTTTTCTAGACAAAATTTTTGCGGTTCAACAGCGCTAAATTCTTTCAAATGTATCAGAAAATTATTTTTGAAACAGAATACAACGAGTACATACAACAATAAATTCAAATATCAGCACCCAAGGGTTGCTAAAACCCATTCCTAAAACGACATTTTTCGAAAAAAAGAAGATGAAACAAAATTCAAAAGTGTTGAAAATATTATCATTTCAATAATAAAATTTCTGGGAAATCAAAATCTATTTTTAAATAAACAAAAAAATATACGAGCAAAAACTGGAACTTGGTCGAAAATCTAAATTTGAAACGATTCACTTTCATTTGTATAAATCGATATTCGAACGAGATCGTAATCATTGAAATAGGAGACTGATGGCTATTCGAGTAACTTTTGAAACGACATGAGAACTGTTATTGTAAAACACACTGCTATATTATTCAAACAGGCCATACTTAAAACCCTCATCTCGAAGACATGTTCTAGACGTAAATTTATAGTAAATTTCTATCATGAAACGTTGAACATTGCAATCAGGTTTAAACTGAGGAATTGGTTAAGTTTGATAGTTTCGAATGGCGCTCCTTGGCAAATAAATTGATTGATAGATAGCACATAGTTTTTAGCACAATTTCGGTATCATGGCACGTACATGATGCCACTCTGCACATCTTTAAAGCGTCCACGAGGCGCAGTTCAACGCAACATTTCGCAGGACAAGAGGTTAATAGTCCTTTGCACCGTGATGCAATTTTAGAAAACATTTCAGTTTATGTTTCCTGTTCTACCTCTTTTTTGACTTTTATTTCCCCCTTCAATATAGTGGAAATTTCGCCTTTCATAAAGGCCCATGGTACGTTGGATCCGACTAACGGGCATTTTAGGCCACTTGGACAATACACTTCGCCGCCTCTAGCGGTTTGGTCCTTAATACTGCTTCTAGAGCAGGGAAAGCAAAACTTGTGAGCACCTTGTGATGGACACTGCACAAAATGTGTGTCTTCGAGCCGTCCGTGACAAAGAGCGCAATTGAGAGGCGGCATTGTCACACCAATGGTTGTGGTACCAGGTAATGGCATACTGGACGTGGGTGTTGTGGGTACCGTGGATGCTTGTTTCGGACTAGCAGATTTGGGATTGGCATTGGCTCCGCTTTCGTTGCTACTGGTACTACTTGATGTGCGGACTCTAACTCGGTTGTTACTGCTATTGTTGTTTACTTCACTTGGTGTCACTGGAGGCGTAGGTCCGTGAACTCCAGTAGGTGAGGTCACGCTCGGCACAGATGGTGCTTGCTGAAGTGGATGGTGATGCGTCGAAGAGTCTGGGTTTTGAGACAAAGAAGATCCGCTGGCGTTGCTACCGTTGCTATTTGTGCGGTGAGCTTGAGTACCATTCAACGGACTGGTCGGTACTCGTTTCGTCTCTGTCGGCGATGTCACGCTTTGACTGCTTGGTGCAGCTGAGTGAGTTGATGATGGACTTTGAGGGCCATCGCTTACGCTGTGACCTCGCGGTTCCGAATGGATGCTTTGTGGAACCGAAGTGATCGATCGTCCAGGAACAAGCATAGCCGCAGAACTTTTCAACGACGTAGGCGAAGCTGAACTTGTTGCCAATGCATGTTGCTGTTGCATCATACCGTAACTGATAGCACCTGGTAGGATGAGTTTCGATAAGGCATCGGCCTGTGTGAGAGATATTCTGCTCGCGATACTGGAGGTAACGGCACTCATATCGTAAACCATTTTGTTGCTTGGAGCATCATTGTCAGCAGAATCAGGAGATAATTTTCGTTTATTATTACGAGGAAAATACGGTGTTCCTTTTATCGACATATATGTGGGGCTAGTTAGTTGATGTGTGGCGGTTGTGGGAATTTCTGGATAAAGGGGATCCTGGAAAGGCGTTGGAAGTGCATCACGAGGTATTGGTTCTCTGAATGAGCGGGTGCCATCCGGTAAGAGGTCGCCTAGCAATCGCCAATCTCCAGATCCGTGTTTCATTTCGTACTCAATGTACTTGAATCCTGAACTCAAGGTTCCTTTTCCCATATCTTTACGAGTGTCCTGAAACATTTGCTTCGCAACACCCGATGCGCTGGTGTAAACATTTCCAGATCCTACAGGGTATTCGATGTAGACTTTCATCTCGTAATCGGTACCTGGCTTATAGGGTGCGTCGAAAGTGATCACTCTTCCACGCAAATCGTGGTCCTTTTTGAATCGGACTTCGAATGGGGTGCATTGGTTTAAAGTGTGAACTGCCTCCCTCACGAGCGTTGCCTTTTCGTCATGCAATGCGTAGCTGTAGTGCGACACACTGTGGTGACGACTGTGTGACTCTGATGGGATCTTTGCACTAAGCGGACCGGTGCTATTATGTCTAGCCGCAACAGACGTGTTCACGTATTCGGGAATGAGCGACAATCTACCTGGGTGACCGGGCATGATCCCGGGACTGCCGATGATGCAACCGTTTGGTAGAACGTGAGTCGAAGCTCCAGCAAGAGAGACTGGTAAGGAACCGCGTCTGCTTGAAATGGAAACAGGAGTATCATCGTCTTTTACCTGCTGATAATGGGAAATCCCGTTCAGTATACTCTTGTGGGAGTTGCTTGAGTTAGAGTTGTGTTGATGTCCATACAATGTCACCCCGCTTTTAGATTCATGAGAGGGTACGTGATAACGATCTAATCGATGTACATCACTAGAGTGATTGTTGCTGTGTTCAACTTTAACGCCAGATTTGTGTGAAGGCGAACGTCTACTACCTGATTGGTGCGTTGGCGGATAGTGTGATCCATTTACTGATGACGCCGAGTGATCGTGGGCCGAGGATCCGCCGTGTCGATACGCCTGGTGAGCGTGCTTTTGTTGCCGCGCGCTGTCTAAAACAGACTCGATCCTGTCCGGTCCTTCATAGTTCACACAGCCACGGCAAACCGGCTCAGTAAAATCGAAAACCATTGCCCAAGGCATCCTTGGAAGATCACAAAGGTAGCAATGCTGCCTTGATGGCCTGGAACTTCCTTGAGTTGCAGCCATGGTTCTTCGGGTTGATTGCCCAGCACTTTCCTGTGGTGTTATGTCACTTTTGGTTTGATTATTCTCGTTTATATGCGGAAGACCCTTTGCGGGATACCGCTTGCGCAAAACAGGCATATAAATCTCGAAATTTGATCATATAAATATTCATAGAGCACTGCAAAAATGAAATTCGAAATACAAAAATATATTAGATTTTTATAATCAACTGTCAACACCGCGACAGTCGAAGCTAACTCAACCTAAGCACCTTTGCTTATGAATGCAACTTTCAATGCAGTAAATTATATAACAGCTAATTGAAGCTCACACACGTATTGGAATAGTTTACGTGAATTGACTCAACGTAATTTATGATACTACGTTACTAGGAACGATGTACTAATCATAGGTTACTCACACAATGCTCATGCTGCGCCTAATATTATGCATAAATGCAGTAACTATATTGGTTGCATTGATATATTGAAGCAACCCGGCGTTGTACCTAATGCACAAACTCAATCGACGCTAAGGTTCCCAGCGACACCTCGCCCGACGAAGGCTACAACTCGTCTGTTTCGCACGCGAAGAATCTGCGGTATTTGTCATGACGTAGCCGTCGGGAGGAAGGACGCCCAGAAAAAAGGCGCAGTCGAGAGAGCGATCGCGGACGGCGAGGTCTGATTGGGCTCGATGGTTAAACCACTGAATACGAGAGATAATATGCAACGTAATACAACATGGGAGAAAGAAACAATATTATCCTAGTGTTCACGCCCGCTTTTCAATCAATCGCAATCGCTTACCATTCACACATGGGCTGCGGATAACGTCTAAAATTTATGTCCGATCGTTCCTTTGCTATAAATATTAAAATTTATGCCCTTAGACTGAAATACCAACACTGGCATGGGTGAATCTAAAAACGCACGCTCTCTTTTAGTCATCACGATACGAACGTAGCGAAATCTTTTTACTTGGCAATAAATATAAGCTTTATATTTCATTTTTGGGCCACAGGTTAAAGCGCGCATTAAAAAAATGGAAGTGCTCTTCAGAACTACGTCATATCGCTGAAGCGTTCGTGTCAAAACCAAGCCTTTAAGCGATTATGATTCTAAGCGCAGCACATACACACAAAAGTGTTACGATGCGTTAACTCATACATTTGGCATACGTAACTATTTAGAGCGTTATTGGAAGGCAGCTATCGAGCGCTTGTACTGACCGCAGGCGACGGGATGTGACGTAAATAGTAAATTGACGAATCGTTGAAAAACAAAACACTTTAAGCTTACGGGTGAACTTTAAACGAATTAGCAGCCTCGTATAAATCTCACGAGCGGAATTTGTTTAATGCAAATGTACGTCAATTTCAACAAAGTAGCTTTTCGTGTTATATGAATGACTATGTCCTAATACTATACGAAGATATTTATTGGAAAATACCATTTTTGAACCTTCCAATGCGTAAGAGTTTGAATTTAGTTAGGCAATCGAACAATCATCACCCAGAAACACGAAAAATATCTCAAAGGCAGAACTGATTACTTTTCTCAAAACGACATGACGCAGGCATAATTGAAACACGTCAAATAAATATTACCGCCATCTAAATAATAATAACAAAATAATAATTTAACCACTGTAGAAATGTGATTTCAGTCTTTCCACTTAGTCATTGGGTTCGGAGTAGAAACTCTAATACGCGGAAGCAAGAAAAACGCGTAACATCCCAAACTGCCATCCCAATATTGTTACGATGATCTTCAATATTACAAGATCGCTAAATCATTTTACCTGCGGATTCGTAAACGACATATACCAAAGCTAATACAGTAGCTAATGCACAAATTTGTAACCAGTAAAATATGAGGGAATATTTCAAAGCATATGGCTGAAATTCTACACCACTTATATTGAAATGCTTTGATAACAATAGAGTCAACAAACGCACGCATTTCCTTCACCAATTACTACAGAAATGCCATAACGCTTGCTCTCTTGAGACGATTCCATATTGTAAAGACAAAGTATACCGGATACAGGTATCCGGTACAGGTATACAAGCTAATTCACCGACATAAATCTGTAAGAAAAGGCTAAAAAATCCAGCTACGATAAGTTCAAATTAAGCCAAGATAAAATATTGATATGTGAAGTTTTTTCATGAATGAGGGAATGGGAAATGGAGAATGATTACCGGAACCGAACTCCTTATTCGAAAAACTGTAAATAACTCTAACACTTATTTCGTGATACACCTCCAAATCGCAATTTTGACCGACATCCTACAAATGAATATAAACTGCCATTGTGAACATACATTGACAATGGATCAGTATACGACAGAGCGCTCCTCCTTTCTACCAATTGTAGAACTATGTCATGTCATATACTAAAGAAAATCCGGTATTGAAGGAGGTAAATCAATAAATGATAGCAAAACTTTTTGCAACAATTATTTCAGAATTTCATATTGAGCTAAGATAGTAAAATTCTTCGAAATGAATATTGAGAGCAACAGTGCATTCACCATAAACTTCTGATTAGAAGCAACCACGAAAACAAAAGTAATCTATAACGTGCATTTGAAATTTTAACGTTTATAAAATATCTTAAAATTATACATATAAAACTTGTCTATAGTAAGCAATCAAATGAGTCAACTGGGCAATTTTTGTATAGGTCGCTTATTGTGGTACTTTAAAAATACAAAATCAAGGCCTTCTCGTTTTGTAATGAGATTTGCTATATTCGTAACCAACAATCATAAGGCAACATACAGACGCGATTACCATGCTTTATGTGGCGAGGAAGGGGAAGTGCGGTGGATGATCCATTAAAAATGCCTACGCCATAGTTTCAAATTGCATCTCTGTTGTTCGTTGTGTTTTCACCGGAAAATAATTCACAGTGGGTGGAATACGCAGAATCACACCGGAGCTTGGTCATGAGCAGAGGTGTGATTAGCGGAGATACCACTAGAGAAGTATAGATAGACGTGTCCCATTCTCCAACAAATAAAATCTATTTGGACATAATCTAAAGTTCTTGTCTATAATTCGGTTGGATTCCAATTTATCAACCGCTCAGTTGTCTATTAAACAAGAGAGCAATACTCAAATATATGGACACGAAGGCCAAAATGGAGTAGTATCAAATCTTTCACAGTACATGTAGCCTCACCACTAAATCACTGAGATGTGATCACGGAACCACGACACGCAATTTTCAAATTTGACGATGTCATCATACAAAACTTCGAAAACGAATCCCACAGATACTTTTTAAAATAAATAAAAGGTATATATAGCATTCTAGCGACAACAACAAGCATCAACCAGTGAACATTTCAAAGCCATATGTCCAGTAGTAGAAAAAACAAAATATTAACATAACGATCCAATTCGCGTCCCAAAATGATGAACAAATAGTATACCATTTCCACTTCCAATTTCCAAGTTCTTTACCACGGAGACACTGAAATACGTGATGCGCACTTCGGTGGCGATTTTAAACAAGCAGACATTGGATGTCTGCCTAATATATAGAACGTGATAACATCGCATTGGCAATTATACTGACGAATAAAATATTGAAATAGTCTGAAAATCAAATTTTTTTTTAAATGTTATCGCATATTTCTTCAGACTACATCCATTAGGTGACCGATTTGCAATACCAGGAGACTTAATGTTATCTGATATAAAACTTTGCGAGGCGGTATTATTCTTATTTTTTATTATTTTTCAAATTTTTATTTAGTATCACGTGGAGGTACATTCGTACGCAAAATGGATCCACACAATAGCTCAGCCCACGAAATTCGTCATTTGTACAGTTCCAACGGAAATTCATTCATTGTATCTCGCTTTTGAACGATTGCAAATAGTACAGTGGCATAGGCCAGTCGGCATAAAGAACAGGCTGTATTCCCCAGCCTGACCCGCACAAATATTGGATTGGTACGGATAATGAATTGGTATAATATAATTACCATAAACAATTTCACAACCAAGTGCTTCGTTGAACGCATAATCACGAGAAAATTCATTTATAATTTACATATTTTTGAATTGAAAAAATAAAATGAAATTTTTTATTTTGATTTAGTAAGCGTGCTTCTGTGTTTTTATTGTTCAGTCTTACGCAGAAGAACCTTACTATATCAATACAAAGAATACTCGAGAGAATTGACGAACGCGCGTAATGATCGTTATCCATTCACTATCAACAATATCAGGAAGCGTGGTTTGGTTCCGGTGGTTGTGGCTCACCTTTACGTTGTTACGCATTTATGTTATTGTCTCATAGAAAGACAGAAACATTCAAAATTTTAGAAGTAATATGCTGCCCAGATGGATCAAATTACCGAATTACCGTTTGTGTGGTATTAAAATTTTTTAATGTGATGATGTAGCTGATGCACTTGGCAACTCCGCTAGGCCTAATAATTCCAGTTGGTAATTTTGCACGTTTGCTAACGATGTCCATGACATCAAGCAAAAATAAATCAAATTCACACGATAGAAAGATGTCGCTAATCAAGGAGTCCTGTTATAAGTTGCAACTTGAAATTTAATGCAACATTTATTGTTGTAGGAAACAAGAGTCGAAACTAGTTTTCGTACGATACAGTTAGCAATGGGGAAACTAACTCACTTATACACAAGTCCAACACATTATTATTTCATTTCGAGGGTATTAAAGAATGGTATCATACGAAATACGCAAGCCCTATATTACTCTAAGGAGGACCCCATTTAAATGCTATCTAGCCGGTCATACATACACCCATATTCCCACAGATTCATGCGTAGGTATGGTGCAATTTAGCAGGTGAATTGGCATAATAGCATCATGTAACAAAATCTTCCCATGCGGCACACAAGTGTTTCAGTCTGTTGGTGATCATGCGACGAAAATATCACATGACCAATGGATGGTTTGATTATGAGTCACGTGAATAAAGAAAACAATGATCCCTGGTAAATAACAAAAAGTTTTAAAAACAAGATAATATGTGTCAACCATGGCCGTCAAATACACCTCGACATTTATAAAATTATCCATGACCGAAGACTTAATAGAGCCAAACGACGTAAAGTAATTTACGCAGTGATGTTTTTAAGTAGATGACTGAC